ACACACACACACCTGATCCCTCCTGTACTCCTGCCAAAGCAGTTTAGGGCAGAGGGCTCCCTGTGACACCAGTTCTCTGCTGGACTCCAGCAGGACACACAGTTGGACCTGAAGAGGACAGACACGGGACTTTAATATAAAACATGCTCTGAACGAGGATCACGTAGTGAAGAAAGACAAAGTCAGGGTGGAGCCTCCTGCTGCTTCCACCGAACAATGGTGAGCAATGTAATCATCTGTCAGCAGATCTGTGAAGCACTGAGCTGTAATTTCTAACTGGTATAACCGAACCATGAATCAGCAGGGAGGCGAAGTGAAGTGACTCAACCTCACACAGTGGAAACAGTAACTACACACAGATCTCACAACAGACACAACACTGAGGCAGACAGCATGTTCAGGAGATCGGAGTAAAGCAGAAACTAGATACTAGAATACTAGAAACTTCACACGCTCATAGATATGAGTCCTCTCAATACATCAGAAGTCTGACCTCAAGATCCACGAATATGTCCCTGAGAAAATTCTCCTATGTCACTATGTTGAGTAGGTTTTACATTATCTCGCTGACAAACAAACTAACAACCAGATGAACCAAACACTGTTCACCTGTTTGTCAAGTTCAGCTCGACTCACAGAATCGTCTCACATGTCCAGATTCAACACTGCACTTCACTGGGCCACGAAGAGATTAGAGATTAGAGATTAGAGATGAGCTAGAAGACAGTGATGTATCACACTAACGATGCTGACAGACAAAGGAGACTTTGTTTTTTTCAGTTGGTCGCTTGCAGGAAATAAAAACATACTGATTCTTAAAAACTTAAAAATTAGTGCACATGTAGTTTTGGGTGAAGAACCCATGTGACTTCTGTTTTGGTTTTTTCTCCGGGTTCTCTGACTTCCTCCCACAGTCCGGAGACATGCAGACTGGGGTCAGTATAACTGGAGACTATAAATCGACTGCGTGAGAGTAAAGGACTTGTTTGTCTCTGAGTCTCGTTGAGACATGTCCAGGGTGGAGCCCACCTCTCACAGAGTCTCAGCTGGGAACGACCTCATCCGCCCTTGCAGCCTTCAAAGCATTTGTGGTGTAGATAATGGACGGACGGATCTATGACCACAAACCTGCACCACAGTTCAACTGAGAGCTGCAGCGAAACACTCAGACATGTTGCTGGTAAACGTTCGACTGCTCCTTTAGACCAAGAATGTTGCAGCAGGGCTCTGACTGAATGCTCATCTTGGATTATACCACAAATGAAAATGCCACTGTCACATACTTACTCTCTGAGAGGAAGTGAGCAGCTCTCGCCTCTCGTCCTCGTCTCCTTCAGTTGCGGTGATCTCCGTCAGTCTCTCCAGTATCAACTTCACCGACAGCACGGCCACCGGGACGCCCAGCTCCGTGGCCCGACGCCTCAGCTCACGCTCTGTCCGTGAGTAAAACAACACATGCTGGAGATCACAGCATTCACCACCTGTCAACATGTGAAACCCCCGTTCTGAGCAGGAACCATTCTCATGATTCTTGTCCCTTCATTGTGAATAAAAACAAAGACATGATGTGTAAAACCACTTCCTGAAATAACAGACACCATGTTTAAGAAAAATGTCTGCTCTGATTTTTTTGTTCGATTCATGTCCCATCTGCTAACATGGAGGAGGCAGGGTTCATGACCTATACTGCATCCAGCCAACAGGGGGGCGATCAAGGTGATTTGGCTTCACGTTAGGAGGCCGTCACATCGTCCATCTTCATTTACAGTCTACGAGTAAAACTGATGTCGAGCGCTGGTTGGCACCGAACACTCACCCAGCAGAGACCCTGTGATGCCTCCAGCTGCAGGTCTCTGGTCTCCAGTCTGACGGCACCGATCGTGATCCTACAAAACAACATCGGAGTTACATTAATAACAAATTAGAGAAAAGTCAGTAACTTCCGAGTTCAGTCCTCCGACTGGATCCAACCTGAGGAGATGTGAGCTTTGATTATTCTTTAAAATCCGTTCTACTTCCCTGAACTGTCTTTGACTTTTGTTTTTAGTTGTCATTTCATTTCCTGCTCGTACAAACATACTCACGAGGGTTCTGGTCGCTTCCTGAACTCCGGTCAACACGAGAGCGGTGAATGACATTGAACCTGTGTATTTACAGTCAATGCTATAACATGATGTAAAGTGAAGGACGGTCTCTCACTCACAGACACCTCCCTGAGGAGACGGCTCAGGTTCTGCTGCTGCTCCAGCAGCTGAATCGCTGCTTCCTGCAGCCGCTGACCATCCTCCTGCCTCGGCCTCTTCACCACGCGACCCGCTGGGGAAACAACAGGAGGAACACGCGTGACACATGTTCACGAGGACACGCCTCACACATAGACTCAGTCAGACGTACAGCAGATGTAGAATGTGTGGCCCAATGAAAACTATGATTAAACACGTGACACGTGTCAGGAGGGAAAGTGACAGATGTGTTTCGTGTACATATTATTATTACAGGTGTTTGTCACGTCATCACCACGAACCTCAGGTCTTTACTCTGTCACGTGTCACAGACGTCATGTGGTTAAATGTGGTTCGAGCACCAGGATGAATGTTGAACAAACGTTTTCACTCAGTTCAGTTAAAGTGTTAAATCATTAAAGTGTTAAATCGTTAAAGTGTTAAATCATTAAAGTGTTAAATCATTAAAGTGTTAATGATCAGATGGATTTAAATAAACTCACCGAGGAGCCTGAACACACTCGTCTCCTCACAGGAAGTGTTCACTGACATTTTAAATGAAGCTTCAACAAACCGTCTCCGCCGCTGAGTGATTTATAAAATCATATTCAATCAGTTTCACAGGATTAATTCAGTGTCTGTGGCTCCATGTTTCTCCTCTTCTTCCTCTTCTCCTCCTCTTCTTCTCCTCTTCTCCTCCTCTTCTCCTCTTCTTCTCCTCCTCCATGTTTCCTCCCGCTCTTCTTTGTTATTGTTCTACAGCCAATCAGGAGAGAGCAGCCCGTCACATGGGACAACCATGAACTAACTCGGAGTTTCTGCACCAGTGATGAGTTGTGTTGTCTTGTGTTCACTCGTGTCCTGAGTTGTTGTGTGGTTGTGTGTGATGTTATGTAATGTTGTATAGTGTTGTCTCCTGTTCTGTTACACTCTTGTCAGGATAAACATCATGGTTGTGTGTCTGAACGCCTCACGAACACATTTTAAAACCCTTTATCTTGTAAACGTGCTCATGTGACTGTGCTGCAGACGAATGTACACAACAGACAACACGACACTGTTGTGTGTGTGTGTCTGTGTGTGCATGAGAACAGGAACCATCAGTGTTTCCTGTTTCTATCAAATATCTGTCACTCGCTCACTGTGTCGAGCTGCAACTCAGAGTTTCTCAACACCTCCTCACGAAACATAAAAGATGTTGAGTCATAGTTTAATCAGATAAGTGTTTTGACTGGTTCCAGGTGGTGTGTGTGTGTGTGTGTGTGTGTGTGTGTGTGTGTGCGTGACTGTGCAGCAGCGGCCTCCATCTTGCCCCTGGAGTTCTCCTGTGAAGATCTCTCCTCTCAGAGAGCAGAGTGCTCCTGAGCCTTTAGTGATTTCTGGACTTCTCATCTCGACTGCAGCAGAAAACCCGTCTCATGGGAGCCGGCGAGAGGAACTCATGAAAACTTGATGCAACGTGTCCTCATGAATTTTTAACGTCTCTCTCTTCCTATTGTGCCACTAATGTGCAGGACAGAAATATAAACAGGGTGCTGAGTGCAGAGGAACCCGCGAGGCAGAGCATCATCAGCTGTCAGCTCGGTGAACAACAACACAGTGACACCTGGGGACACACACACACACACACACACACACACACACCCACACACACACACACACAGCTGCAGTAGCTCCTGTCTGAATCATGAGGGAGCCGCAGTCACTGGAGGCCTGAGTAGGTGAGCAACGTTGTGCTGGAGGACCGACCGCAGTCTGTGAAAAACACTTTTGGTCGTGAAGACGAGAAAAGTGCAGAAAAAATGATCGAGCTGTAAATGAAGTCATATTTTAAAAATGGTTCTTAAACTGTTTTAATTGTGTGAATGACGTTTTTTTGCTGAAAGATTTTTTGCTGTGAAACTTCAAATTAAAGTTACACCAACAACTGGGACGAGAGATAAAGTTAAAGTTAAAGTTAAGGAAAATAGTTTCAACATGAAAAACAAACACTGGTAATGTGTCCAGGACTCTTTGTTCTAGGCAGCAATAAGAAGGTATTAAAAGTGCACAATATATATATATATATATAAAAACAAACACTGGTAATGTGTCCAGGACTCTTTGTTCTAGGCAGCAATAAGAAGGTATTAAAAGTGCACAATATATATATATATATATATAAAACTAATACATATAGAGAGAGGGAGAGAAAATGTAATACATTTAAAGGTTTAAACAGCTGATTGAAGTTGCAGCAGTGTAGCTCAGGCAACAGTTTTGTCCTCGACACACTCATATGGTAACAAAACTCTATTGTAACCATAGAAAAAGGAGAAAACAATCAGACAGTAGAGGAGAAATTCAGAACTATTATCACTTTTAGATTTAATATCCCACAAAAGACGAGGCTGCAGGCTGCAACAAGCTGGGACCTGAATGAGCGATGGAGAGTTCATCAGGTATATAATGCAGAAGTTGACGTAATCCCTCAGAAAGCATCAAGATACATTTACCAGTCGAGGTGAATTGAGTTCATCTGACCCCGAAGACAAGATTTCACATGAGAGATACAGAAGGTGCGGAGAGCAACGAACAGCAAAGTGAAAGAAACAGTTTTAACGTGGGAGGTCATGACTCATAGATCCTGCCGCTCTTTTGAAAAATCATTGTCTGCGCTGGTGCGAAGTACAAAGACGAGGACTTCTCCCTCCTCCCCTGGAAACACAGCACAGACTGACTGAGAGCAAACAGCCCTCGGCCTGGAGGCTTTACAGCTGTGCTACATTCCTGAGAGCTCAGTCAAAGCTCGTGTAAATGAAGGAACATTAAAACATCTGGCGCGGGAACAGATCGCTCACTGCTGGAGCTGTGGAGGTTGTTGTGTAGATTATCTCCAACTAGGAGTTTGTGTGTTTGTGTGTTAGCAGGATTACGCAAACAACACTCAGCTGAATTCCATGAAATGATGCGGAGGGGCGGGAAGAAGAACGATCTGATCAGAGGACGGATCCAGGAAGTTTCCTCTCTTGTCAACATAATTGCTCAGAGAATGATTCATGGATCTAAATATCAGGCGTCCATCTGGTGCAGATCCAAATCAAATCTGGATCTTGTGAATTGAAGCGTTGGTTTCATGAGGGGACTGTTTGGACTTGGTGGAGAACGTGTGAGCTTGAATTTCTCATGTACAAAAGCAGCTTATCTCACAACCTTTAAGAAAGTAAAACAGATCCTGGATCTGCCTCCTGTAATAGAATCCACTCCACATTAATCGAGCTCTTCTCTGACCCACCTCCTCCCTCCACTGAGTTACAAGAAGGTTCAGGAGATCTGTTATTATCATCTAAAGTATAATTTGACTGTGTATACAAAGTAATGAGGTTTGAATGCATGTCTACACTGTGTCATTATCTCTTCCACAAAATAAAATAAAGGCTGTGTGGTCACGGTGGACTTTGAGCTCTGTGAGTCTTTCCAGTTGTGGACTGTGACCCACATTGTGAGTCTGCTGCTGTCAGCTCCGCTTGTTGACCTGTTGTTACGTGTTGTTCAACAACAGGAAACTGATTGAACCTGGACCTCGTCCTCAGAATAAGTTACTGAGCTGAGGTCATGTTCCACACAGACTTCTCCTTTAGTGTCGGCAGCAGTTCGTCTGAAACCAAACTCTGACCAACTGCAGGAAGTTTCAAAAGAGACAATGACACTCAACTGGTTGGTTGAACACTTCTAACCTGACAGAATCTCTCAGAAACTTCACTCAGGAGCAGAAATCTGACATTTAACTTAAAAAAATAATAATAATGTGACATTTATTGTGATAATTATCAATTTCAATAAATTGTGTCTGTTTTTGAACATTTTCTTTGATTCCTGACAGAATAATAAATTATGGATCTTGATGAAGACAATCAGAGGAGAGGACTGATATTCATGAGTGTTTGACTTGGTGCTGATCCAAATGTGGTTTCATAAGGAGACTTTTGTGTTGTGTTGTGTTGTTTTGTGTTTAGTTATAGTTTCTTAAGAGATTCACAAAAATGTCAAAAAGCAACATATTGTTAAAGAAAGTGTGAAATAAAATCCTGGATCCACAGAGCATCAAACAAGAAGTACCAGTAAACAACATTTAACTCCACTTGGTTCTGTGGGACTACGTGTGTGAGGTGTCGTGTTCCCGTCGAGTTTAGTTTCTCACGCAGGAAAAGAAAGAAACAATGTCCTGCGACTTCTCTTAGGAAACTGTGAAGTCAAACATGGCGACTGTACAAACACAGGATCAGGTATCAGCAGCATTAATCCAGGGATATCTGAGTGAAACGCCCTTCACAGAAACGTCAACACACATTGTGAAACTGATCTTTGAATATGCAAAACACAGAACAACCATCGGTCCTGTCATCGCCGAGCAGAAGCGGAACAAGAAAACGGCAAAGTGCAAACAACCGCAGCCCGTTGTTGCCGTCAAACGCAGCCTGGTCCCAGTTTGTCTGAATCAAACACGAGTGGATTCTGCAGCGACACTGACAAACTCAACTCTGCTTCAACAAAGTTCTTTTTATTCCATTTTATCTTCAGTTCCTCTCTCGCATATTCAAGTACGTGGATTTTGAAATCCAGGAAACACAATCAGTAATAAACAAATTAACTTTCAAAATCATCGTCGAGTTCTGATTTGATTCATACATGATTCCACTTTACCCCCCCGATCCCGCCCGCCCCCCCGCCCGGGCTAAGACACATGGACCTCTTGTAAACATGATACAAATCTTTTTTTTTTTTGCCTTTGTTGATTACAAAAAGTAATCTGGTAGAAAAATATCTTTTCTTTTACAGGTATTTCTCTTGGTAGGAATATTTACATTGAGTACCTCACAGTATAATCTGATTTAAAAAGTACTTTGTGTAAAATAAACACAAAAAGGTCTCGGGGGGTAAAAGGCCTTTGGTTTTCACGAAAAGTATGAAAACAAGGACAAAAGAATCACAAAAGGTCCGTTCACTGCTGCGTAAAACCACAGTGACGACTGGATTGATGATTGTTCCACAGGTTTGAAAGAGTTCAGAACCAAAACTGCAGCTACAATCAAGCGTCACTCCTGGGGACGGCAGAGCCGCACAACCTCCGCTGGGCGAAGTATCCGAGCACGATGAGCAACATCTCCGAGGTGCTGCTGAGGGCCACGATGAAGGGCGCCTGGGACGCAAAGTCGGCCTCCACCCGGTGGAACGACAGCTGCATGACGGCGAGGGCCAGCAGGCTGTTCTGGACGCCCACTTCGATACTGACCGTCTTCCTTTGTGGCGGGGCCAGGCCCGCCACCTTAGCCATGACTGCACCGACCACCAGCCCCAACATCGGCACCGTCACCCCCACTGCCACGATCTGGGGCCTGACGTTGGCCAAGATGGACGCCCCCATTTGGTAGGCCATGAAGATGCCCCCTACGATGAGCACAAAGCTGAAGGGTCGTATGAGTGCGAGCAGGACGCGCGTGAGGGCGGGCAGGCGCAGCTTGACCAGCATGCCCAGCGAGATGGGGATGGCGATGAACAGGAGGGTACCTAGGATCTTCACGAAGGGCACATGCAGGGCGGCGTGGACCCCCAGCAACCGCCCGTACAGAGCTGAGGACAGCGGCATGGCTGCTGCTGCCACCACCGTGGACACCAGGGTCATGGAGATGGCCAGCGTGACGTCTCCAGCCAGCAGCAGGCTGTACAGGTACCCGCCCCCGCCGCCGGGGGCCGAGCAGGTGATGACCAGGCCCAGGGACAGGGCTTTGGGCAGCGAGGCCAGCCGGGACACACAGTAGGCATACAGGGGCATCACCAGGAACTGACCCAGCACCCCGAGCAGCAGGGGCACGGGGCTCCGCAGCAGACTCCGCAGCACCTCCACCTCCACCTTACAGCCGAAGGCACACTTGTTGACGAAGATGAGGGGCAGCAGGGCGAACAGCACCGGGTTCTCAGAGAAGTGGGACAGGCCACCGGACTGGATGAGTCTGGTGGCCGGGTCGTCGTCACCGGGCGCCACTCTGATGGAGTAATCCGTCCTCTCCTCGACCAGAACCGGCACCGAGTCCTGGTCCAGGTCCAGCAGCTGGATCTGCAGCTGGGCCGTGCCCGGGACCCCGGAGCGGATGCTGATGATGTAGCTCGTAGCGGGACCCGCGTGGCCGCTGTCGGTGACGTTTAGGATGTTGAGGACCTCCGGGTCCATGGAGCGGACCGTCACCGTCTGCTTCCGGCTCCTGCGGCCCTTCCTGCTGGCCGCGGAGCTCCGGTACAGGCTGGAGATCACGATCACGCCGTTGGTGTTTTCAGGAAACTCGAACTCCTGCGAGGACCCGTCCCCGATGCTGATGTACCCGCCGCCGGGGCTCAGGTCGGTGCGGTTGCCGCTGTCCACGGTGAGATTCCCGGTGGCCCGCGCCCGGTCCGCTCCTCCGGTGACGAGCAGACACCAGATCGTAAATAGCGTCCTCATGTTATCAACGGGCGGGGGTGGAGGTAGAGAGACGCCGCAGAGACACGCTTCTCCCTCCGCCTCCTCCGGCTCCTTCAGCGGCCTCCCCCTGACGGTTACACCGCCGCCCGCTCACAGCACAACGGCGAACTTCTCATTCCGGTCTCCGGTACGAATCGGCGGCAGCAGCCGGCTCCACAGCTCGTCTGGTTCCCATTATGTCGCTGCCTTTATACCGGAACCTAAACATCCCCGCGCCCCGCCCTGCCCGGGCCGAGCCGGGCTCCCCAGCAGCAGCGGTGCCCGGCACAGAGCTCGCTCTCTCGGCCTCTCGACGAGTCTCTCACGGCCTCTCCTCGCTCCGGCTACTCGATGTCACGATGTCCGTGTGAACAGCCCCGGAGCCGCGGCTCGTCCTCGGTGTCGGTGTCTCAGTGTGGCCGGGAGTCCGGAGCTCTGGAGCCGCGAGCATCGTCGATCAGCTGCGGTTCATCCGCGGCCCGGACATTAAGGGACCGACATCCGGTTATCGACACCAAAATAAAAGCTTGTTTTATAAAGGTGTGTTCAGGCAGGAGCTCCAGAAGGCCTGTGTGCGTTTATTTTGTAAAGAAAAATCTTTCTACTTCCTCTCCCTCTCTCTGGTTAAATGTATCTGACTTGACGGATCCTCTGTCAGCTCTGCTCAGCCAATCAGGAGAGGCGTCACATGGGAGAGGAAACACCGTTATTACAGATCTCAGGGGGACATGGACCAATTATATCAACTTATAAATATAAATATAAATATTCATATTTATATTTTTATATTTATATTTATATATATATAACTTAACTGACCTGCCTGACAAGATAAGAGATGACACCAGATGATAAGATACTGTACAATACATGATGACACAACAGATCAGAGAACATATGATACGATACATTACGATACTACAAAATAAGATACTTTAAGATACGATTAGATGAAATTCGATACATTTTTTATCGAAATGATAAAAGATACGATACGGAACTTTTAAATATTATGAAACTGCACGATTAGATGCTCTGATGATCGATGGTGATCGATTGAGCCTCCAAATCACAGACTGTTAATAAAGATGGACGACATGACGGCTCCCAAAAATGAAGCCAAATCCTTTTGATCGCCCCCTGGTGGCAGGCGTGTGAGTCATAAACCCTGCCTCCTCCGTGTTAGCAGATGGGCCATGCACAAGAATAAATAGATAAATTGATAAATTAAACTACACGTTGGATACATGTTCGTTCTGTTATAGACGTGTTCACGTTTAGTTTGCTTTCTATTCTATTCCGGCTCTTCTCTCGTGTTCACCCCCTCCTCCTCCTCCTCGTCTTGTTTACGGACTCATTTCACTGACGCTCTCTGTTTCCCACTCGGCTGCTTCCTGACCATCGATCGCCGTGGTGACTCGTGACTGATCCATTACGCTCGTGGATTAAAAATCAACAGTCGCACTCAACTGAGCAGTGTCCAGTTACGGCTCTGCAGCCAAGTCGGCTATTGCTTATTTGTCAAACACAAGCAGCAGACAGAACGGGGAAACCTGACACTGGGCCCGGCTCGGGACTGTGGCATCACAGGGGAACCCCCTCCTGTCGGCCTCCACCTTTTTATAGCCACCGCCTGCTGCTGCTGTGAGTCACTGAAATATTTAAAAGCCGTTTTCATCTCACGACCTCCAGGTCCCCCCCGCCCCCCGGTGGAGGGTCAGCGAGGTCACTGGGTCAGAACCCTCCAGTGAAGGCACCACCCGGGCCTGTCGTGTCTTGAATATTAACTGTCACTGCTCGTTGTGTTGAAGTCAGACCTGGGACAAGCTAATTCGTCAGCTATTGTGTTCTCATGAGTTATGTGCCCTACTTCTGTCCCGTGGCTGAGTCAGAGCTTCCAGAGACAAGAAAAGGCGGGAGGAGCTAAGAGAACCTGCTGCGGCCATTGCACCGGCTTCTTCTTTGACCGTTTCCTGGTGCGACAGCCCGTCGCTGTGGGGACGTCAGTTATGCACACTTCCTGCCTGCATGGCTCACGTGCCCTGAGCTGTGTAATTATTTATCCTCAGTATGAAAATGAACCTCATGACTTATCTTTCACAACCAGCACGAGAAGGTGAGGAGGAATCCCCCCCCCCCCCCCCCCCCCCCCCCATCCTGACACTTTAATGGAGAATCTACAGGAACATCTGCAGCAGCCTGGGATTCATCACTGTGTGTGTGTGTGTGTGTGTGTGTGTGTGTGTGTGTGTGTGTGTGTGTGTGTGTGTGTGTGTGTGTGTGTGTGTGTGTAGTTGTCTCTTTGTGAGGACACTTTTGAGTTCAGACCTCACAGAGCTGTGTGTTCTCCTGATCCACCCACTGTGACGTCAGCCTCTGGTCTGTGAGCTGCTGTGGTTTCCACACACCCGGTGCTTTCTGGTCTGTTCGACTCTAAATGATCATAATTGACTAAATGAACATCAGCTGTTTGAAGAAGACTTGAAACCAGAGACTGAGACATGAGCTCCTGAGGACAAAGTTCACTGACGTTATAAAGTGAATAAATATTAAAATAAAATGTCATTTTTCTCCACAGACTGTGTTTGATCCTGATGTTTTCAGGACTTGGTTTTAGGTTTAGATTCATGTTCAGGGTTTGGAAATGCACTGTGTGTCCTCACTATGAGAGAGGTAGAAAGTGTGTGTGTGAATGTTCATGAACCATCTCCGGGCAGTGATTAAGAGCTGCCTCGTGTTGTGTAGCAAATGAGATCATGAGCAGCCATGATGACTAATCTAAAAGCTTCGTACTGAACCACAGACTCCAGGTCTGAGGGCTGGTCACAAACAGGAAGTCTGGAGTTTGTGATCTCCAGCTGCTCAAAGGACTGTTTCAATATCTTAATATAATAAGATGTATATTGTGTTATTAATAGTTAAAAGATTTTCATTGTGAACCATAATGGTGAAATTGTTCCATCTATGACCATCATCCTGCACCACACTGATCAATAATTCATTTTTCATTCCTTAGTATTTTTGAAAATAATCTAAGTGTAATTAAATGAGCAAAAATTTAAATAAAACAAATACAAAATTAAATTGACTGTAGAAGCATTATTATTGTTCATATTATTCTCCAAACATTATTCCATGATACCATTGTTGTGAATTCTTTTGGCCACAATGATCATTTAATTAAAATCCAACATTATTACACTGCTGAGTAATGAAACTCTTTCTTGTTTGAGGTATTTTTTTTTTGTTGTATTTCATTTTGTTCACGGTCACAAGTCAAAGGAAAGACGGCATTAGAGGGCGAGATTTTATTTATTTAAGATTTACATAGATATTTATACAAAACCCACATGCTGTAACGTCTCTGAGTAGAAATAAAGCTTCCTAGTGTTAAAATGGACAAAACAGAATCATGATCCAGAGGAAGTGAAGCCGCTCTGTCGTCAGCACTTAACAGTGAAGTCAGTACAGAGCTTTGACCTCAAGAGAACAAAAGGAACCAGTCTTCTGATTAACATTTCATTCTTCTCTGTCCACATCTGCATTTATCCAGAATGTCATAAATGAAACTTTCAAGCAAACGTCTGGTTTACGAGGCAAATTAGGAAAAAACCACAATTGTCAAATGAAAATAATCCAGCTGGTGCATCACAGCTCTGAGAGGACGCGTTGTCCTCCTGAAACAGTCCAGGATGAAACTGAGACAGGTGATCAGGTCTGGACAGAAAAATATCTGAATGAGGTTCTGGTGTTGGGGGGGGGGGACTTTCAACAACTTAAATCAAACACCAAGAATCAAAGAGAGAGACCAGGCCACTTCAACCCACAGAGTTAAGGACGTGTCTCTGAACTACTGCGTCAGGCACTGGTGAGGGAAGCACCTACCAAAGCACCTGCATCCCAAATAAGGCGTTCAAAGCAAAAGGTCTGAAAACAGGCAGCGACGAATCTGAACAGAAACAAACTCACGATCCATCGGACACAGAACGAGAGGGAGGACTTCGTTTTATGATGAAGGGACGGAGACAATGTGTTGTAGTTTTACCAAGAAAAACCAAAAACAACAAATAACTGTAAGACGCACGAGTCCAGAGACTGATACCCCCCCCCCCCCCCCC